TTATTTCCTTTTTCGGCCTCTCCCGCGTCCCCTACGGCGTTGGCACAACTGGGAGCTCCCTCAGATCCCCCCCGTTACGACATCCACCCCGGGAACACTCAGTGCTCAGGAGTTTCTGGCTCCGTGCGCCACTTCGGGGTCTGTGGTCTGGCAGCTCATGGTTGTCTCTCGCGGTCACGAAAATCCTCATTCCCGCGGCGATTTAAGTCAGTTCCCGCACACAGTAGGAGCTGTCACCGTTGAATACGTGAATGAACAAATAAGTGAACAATTTAGACACACCCTACTGTATAAAACACAGCAGACTTACAGCTCCACCAAATTCTGGAATTCGATCCCCAAATATTTACTAAGCGCCAAAGCTTTCTGCTCTCGAAAGATTTGAAGCCTTGGAAACCTTACACAAGGTCGCTATGAGTCGGAATCGACTCGACGGCACTTAACAAGTATTGCACTGACCTCTATCTATACAAGGTCTGGAAACAGAATCCGTAGAGGTGACCCTGGCTGGAATAAAGCAGCACTGCTGTGGAAGACCTTTTATCTAGAGTCAAGACCTGTCTTCGGTGTTTGGGTTACCTAATGCATAACACTGAGCAAGTCAGGTAACTTCTCAGAACTCCTTCCTTAATCTTCAAATGGAGACCTATTCTCACAGAGCTGCTATGAAGAGTCATTGAGATGATTGATACTCGTATGTGTGAAAGCTTGGTTTCTCTTATACATGATGGTTAGTGTTATTATATGCTCTAGACATAAAACTAGTCATAGGTCCAAATTTCAATGTCTCAACAGGCAGTGACAGAGTTCATAGGTGCCTTGTGGGAAACTCCGGTACCAGTTCCAAATTTAAGATTGGCCAAATTAATGGAGAAATGCAATTTTCCCATTTTAATGTCCTAGTTTTAACTTCTCTATAAAATGAATGGTTAGGTTTTCCCCCTCTCCTACGGTCAGAATCCACCAGTAGCAGCACCCTAGGCCGGTGCGCCGCACCTGATGCTTTTGTGGGCTGTGGCCTGGATAGCGAAGGGCGCCGGCTGTGGCACCACGCGCTGGCCGGGGAGGGGTGCCCCCACTGTAGGGCCAGGCATCCTGGAACCCGAGGCTGAGCGGCGGAACGGACTGGCGCCGGGGATCAAGCAGTGGAGGAGACAGGAGGCGGGTGTTATGGAGAAATTGTGTTCTCAGTCTGGAGGGACTCCCCCACCCTGGGAAACACACGCCATTTCCCGAATAGGGTCCCTCTGCCAGAAATTTCTCCAGAAAGAGTCCCAGGCCAGAATGTACCAGGAATACTGAAGGGCGAATGTCGTGGTTGCCGGGAGAGGGTAGCTCGGGTGGGTCGCACAGTGGCTGAGGCACGAGGGAAGAATTCGAACCCGACCTTTTCTGACCCGGCTGCCGCTCCTCGACCTGGTCGGTGTTCCGTGGAGTCTACACTCCCACCCCCAGCCCCGGGCACCCTCTCTGCTTGGCCCTTGAGCTGAGAGCGCATTCGCCGAGGGGCCGCGCCCCAGGCACCAGCTTATAGAAAAGTGTTCGCTTCAGGAAGAAGACGGCTTGGAGTTGCACACCCAGTGAGGGAGGAGGGCGGAGGCGTAAAAAGAATGCTCGAGGAGGAAAACCAGCGGAGAAAGTTAGGTTCAAGCGTCCTCTGGGAAGGAGGTGGGGAGGGGAAGAGTGAGGGTGGAGGAGAAAAGATGGGACTAAAATAGGGAAAGCAGCGCAGCAGGGATGGCAGAGTAAACACCAGTTGTCGTTTCCAATTGTATAATTGCTTGCATTTCGTGGGGAAAGAGGTTGACTGCACCCGGGCTGTCCAGGAGCTGAGCCTATCTTCTCTCCCTCTCCGGCGCCGCCCATGGCGAGAGAAATGCCAATATTCTGAAACCCGGGCTCGCTCACTTATTTCATTCATTCATTCCTTTATTCACTAGCACCCATACTTTCATTCACCTGGGCAACTTTGTGCCAGCGCGTCCTAGTGCCAGCGGCTCCAAGGAGTGCCGGGTTTCATTGCGAGCATCACTTCTCCGGAGCTCCAAGGGTTCCCAAAGCCCCTGGTGCGAAGGACCGAGAAAGAGTACCGGAACAGAGGTCCCTGCCGACTCCGAAGTCCCCAGCGCTGAGCTCCAGAGTTGCTGGTCCAGCTGCTCTTTCAGTCGAGACTCGGCAGGGTGAGTCTTCAATTTGCGAGCTTGGTAAAACCAAACCCGTAACGGTTAGGATACAAGGCCTTCTGTATTCGAACCAGCAGAGGAACGGGGTGAGGTCTCCCGGACACATGGATGAACAGAATCGGGGCTGAGGGTCCGCGTGCGATGAAGGGACACACTGGACACCGCGTGTACAGCATGCTGAGGACACATCGCCTTGCATCTAATTCTTTCGCTGTATACTTTGCTTTCTACTTCTCTCTGTGTATGTCTTTCTCTCAACATTTTATTGTGCTTTCGGTGAATGCTACCGAGCAAGTTGCTTTCTATTCAATAATTTACACATCGTTTGTTTTGTGAGATTCCTTGCAACCCCTTCAATGTAACAGCATTCTTTCACTTGCTCCCTGGATTCCCCCTTGCTATTTGCCCATTTTTTTTCCTGCTCCTTCCCGGTTTGGGGGCAAATGCTCCCCTTCTGGTTTGGTATGGTTGACTGTTCTGAGAAGCAGTTTCTGCTCATTTTATGTTGTTGCTGTCATTGTTCACTGTTGTCCAGTAAGTTCCTACTCATAGTAACCTTGCACCGTGTTTCCAAGGCTATCAATCTTTGCAGGAGCAGAAAGCCTCATCTTTCAACTGACGACCTTGCAGTTAGAAGTCCAATGTTTATCCTCCAGAGTCACCTGTCACTTTATAAGCCTGCTTATTGTTTCACTAAAAGGTAGTCTCCAAGATTGAGTTCCATGTTTGCAGGGTGTCTAAGACCACCAGTTTCCATCATTCCAGTAAGTCTGCTTCTTTTTGTAATTTAGAATTTGTTCTACTTTTCTCTTCCATTCTGTTTAGGATCTTCTTTTGTGATCCAGAACAGAGCAGTTAGTGTACTGCTCGTAGGGTACCATCTAGTTCTTCTGGTCTCAGGCTACTGGAGGCTGTGGCTTCTGAGCTCCTTTAGTCCTTTGAATTCATAGTTTCTTTGTGTTTGAATTTCGGCACCCTTCTTTCCTCTGGGTTGGAAGAGATCAGTAGTTATATTTTAGATGGTTGTTCACAAGTTTTTAAGATTCTAGTTAATACTCACAACAGTAGGATTAATTTGTATGGAACTGTTGTTAGGTGCCATCGAGTCAAAACCAACTCATAGAATAAAACACTGCCCAGTCATGCAAAACCTCACAGTCTGCTACATTTGAGTCCATCACTACTGCCATTGTACCAATCCATCTTTACGGTCAGACTGGTCTCTCCTGATAATAAGTGTGAAGTATGAGAGACAAAGTTTAGCTATCCTGGCTTCCAGGGAACACTCTGGCTGTATGCCTTCCAAACAGATTTTTTTATGCCTTGGCAGTCCATGGTACTTTAAATATTCTCCTCCAACACCATAACTCAAATGCATCGATTCTTCAGTAGCCTTCCATATTCACTGTCCAAGTTTCACATGCATATGAGGTTATTGAAAATACCATGGCTTGGGTCAGGTACATCTTGGTTCTTGTAAACTCTAAAGAGGTCTTGTGCAGCAGATTTGCCTAATACACTAAGTCCTTTGATTTCCTGACTGCTGCCTTCATGAATGTTGTTAATGAGTCTTACTCCAATTTTGATGGCATGTTCTTCTTCATATAATCCATCTTCTCACATTATGTGCTCAGAATACAGAATGAATAAATATGGTGAAAGAATACAGCCTTGGTGTACACCTTTCCTAATTTTAAACCATTCAGTGTTCCCTCGTTCTATTCGAACAAGCCCCTGTTACAGGTTCCTGATGAACATGATTAAGTGTTACAGAATATTCATTCTCCACAATGTTGTCCATAGCTTGTCATGATCCA